TTATACAAACGACAAATCACTTTTATCTCTAAAATGAGTCAAAATAATCACCCAGTATAAATACAGATACTTATATACGTTTCAGTGTATATAAACAGAAAATGTACATATATCTAGTTAATACAATGGACTGTCATCACAAGCACTACACATATATGTTTACGTCCCTCTAACGAAACTGAATATTCATTTATTAATTCCTGGCAACTGGTAGAGACCAGCCAATAGGGTATCAGGATGTGTAGTTAACAGAATTTGAAGCAAACGTTATGACCAATCATTATCCACCTTCTTAGGCGCGCTATTTGTTGATTGGTTGATTATTGAGGTTAAAGTTTATCAACTCGCTGGGTCATTAAGGCTGCATGTCATATATTTACCACTAGTCAAGAAGACTTTCTCATTAAAGTAAAGCTCGACGTTTACAATTCGATAAACAATTTAGCTGTACGATAAAAGAAGCCAAATTGCCCCTATTAGTATTATAATCAAGACCGAGCGCTAACATGCAAATTAACAAAAATTCTAATGCATTGATAAACATATTTGTATGGAATCATTTTGCACCCTACCTAACTTAGTAACCTATTTAACCTTGATAAATATAACATGATATAATTCACAGGTTTTTTGGAGATTTAAACTGGCGTCAGTGAATGTCTGTCCGCCGTCCCTCACAAGGCTGAGATGAAAGCGTAAAAATATCTATGACCTGTTACAAGCGCCTGTTACGTTTTCATAATTAATAACTTGGCATAATTTAACTTAATCGATCCCAATTTACGTCAGGTCAGGCAAAATTTTATTATTAATATCGAGAAATTGTACATAATTTTATTTCGTAAAGATGTGAATGATTGTTGTGTTATTGTAGCCATCAAGTGGCCTCGGTATGTGTCTCAGTAGGATGGGGAGCCTTGATGCTGGTAAGGGGCTCTTGATTAACAGAAATGGAGTATATAGTACCAACATGGAGCTTATTTCTCGTCAAAGCATGTTCGGAAACTCGAGAAAGACCATAAGTTTGCAGAAAAACTAGTCCAAGACTGAGGATAGTGACGCTTGGAAGAGACTTTACATTGAGAAGAATCAGGGGAGACCTGATTATAGTTAGTTCAAGGTTAAAAGTGATTCAACAGATGGAAGGAAAAGAATAGACGTTAGAAATTCTCATTCAGAGAATGAGAAGATTGATGAAGAGAGCTAATGGTAAGAAAATACCTTCACTTAAAGGACGATAATTTAAAGAGATGACTTGATGAAGAACCAGTTGGGAAACGTCCATACCATGCAACCAGATTCAGTCGAATAGTGGTCTAAAGACCAAAGACCAACATTAATAACAACACACACACACACTACACGCGCCAGGAGCTATGTCTCGACCCCTGCACACAATGCATACAAATAGGTGAGTACACACACACACACACACACACACACACACACACACCACACACACACGCTCACACACCCACACACACACCACACACATACAAGCGCGCGCGCACACGCATTCACACACGCGCGCGCCTGCATGCACACGCACACACACACATATACACACACAGACAGTGAAGAGGCGAGGGCCAGGAGCTACGATTCGACCCCTGCAACCACAATCAGATGAGTACAATTAGGTGAGTACATACACTCGGGCATAGCCATTGCTCCATCCCTTTCTTCCGAGAAACAGATAAATACAATTACATCATCAGAACAGGCTAAGTTTGCTAACATTAGAGTGGTATTTAGAAAACTAGAAAAACACTCATTCAGAACACTTCTTACCTCTTACAAGTAACACATTCTTAACAACGAAGTACCAGTGAGGAACCCTCTTCTAGCGAAATAAAGCGAAGGATGAGATAGTATAAAGGAGTGTATCAAGACTGGTACCTGAGTTGACGGGAATGATGTAGAAAGAATCGAGAACTAGATGTCACTGGAGGAACGAAGCGCAAAGAAAAATATAATCACAACAAACAAAATACCCGAGATATAGACAGGATAATCATGGATAGGCTATTTACCAGGAATATAACAAGAACAAGAGGATATGTCTGGGTACTACACACAGGGATTTTGGAATATATATATATATATACATTTTTTTTAATAAAATACTGGTCACGAAGAGGAATAAATTGAGCAATGATATAGTCGAAGTGGACATCAACCATGGATTGAAAAAGAGATATGATACGGCTGTTTCGTGTCAGTTGATCGTGAAGTTAGAGGCACGACGGAGACCTGGAGTGACATAACATAAGCAGGGGGGTACATGATAACTACGTGTAGCATATTGAGAGGAACTGATTTTGTGGACAGTAACAGACTTTCCAGAAGACCAGAAACTGCAACACTATGGGATTGCTGGAAGTTAACAAATAACACAGATGAGTCACAGGATTTCAATATATATTTCTTTAGCTCCAGCGTGGTCAGGAAGTGGAATGATCTGGACAGCGAAGCGATAGGAGGATCAATACATAGCATTACGAACAGGTATGATAGAGCTCACGAAGCCAGGAGTGAACCCATTAGCGGCCAGGGGAGAGGCGAGGCCAGGAGCTAAGACTCGAATCCTACTACCACACATACACGGGTTCACATACACTGGCTAAGGTACACACTTGGATCTTCTCTGAGTCATCTCTGCGAGTCGTCTATATTCATAAACTCTGAAATACTTTAGTTTAGAAAATTCTATATACATGTAAATAAAACGAAATAAACACTATATTTAATATATAACACTTTATTATCATATATTCTTCACTGTTGATTGTTTGTCCCAGATACATAAATGTGAACTAATTTTCCTAATATACAAAAATTCCAACTGTGCGAACGGCGAATTTATTTGATATGTGTCAGTGAATCTGAGAGACAGAAACAGACTTCACAACTCTTAAGATATACTCACATTATTATTAAATAAGTTATGTGATAATATACTTATTAATTTTCACTTAACTCTGAATTTCTACATACTTTAACATCTCCAGTGGAAAGTAATATGTGTAAATACTTCTCTAAGATATATATGTAACATACGTCATAATTATATGTAATATACGTCATAATTATATGTAACATACGTCATAATTATATGTAACATACATCATAATTATATGTAACATACGTCATAATTATATGTAACATACGTCATAATTATACGTAACATACTCATAATTATATGTAACATACGTCATAATTATACGTAACATACGTCTATTATATGTAAACATCGTCATAATTATATGTAACATACGTCATAATTATATGTAACATACGTCATAATTATATGTAACATACGTCATAATTATATGTAACATACGTCATAATTATGTAACATCGTATATATATGTAACATACGTCATAATTATACGTAACATACGTCATAATTATATGTAACATACGTCATAATTATACGTAACATACGTCATAATTATATGTAACATACGTCATAATTATACGTAACATACGTCATAATTATACATAACATACGTCATAATTATATGTAACATGCGTCATAATTATATGTAACATACGTCATAATTATATGTAACATACGTCATAATTATATGTAACATACGTCATAATTATATGTAACATACGTCATAATTATAAGTAAGATACGTCTAATTATATTACTACTGTAAGATTATATCAACATAGTCATATTATATGTACATACGTCATAATTATAGTAAATACGTCATAATTATAGTAACATACGTCATAATAATAAACATACGTCATAATTAAGTATGAATTACTATACGTCTTCTTAGTAGAAGTTAATGCATAATTAATAGTTTTACCATAATATCAAGACCTACGACAAGACAGAATACTCTAACTATAGAACTAAAGTCTTCTATATTAAATAATTTATTTAAAACTGTAATGGTTAGCAACGGAATACAATGATATATAAAATAGTTATAAATAATGACAGCAAATGATCTTAAATGATAAGATGAAAATTACGAAGTGTGATTCTAGTCTCTTGGATTATCTCCCGGAGGCGGCACTTTTAAAATTATACTTCTAATTTCTAAGCACTTTTTTTTGTCTTTTGTACTGATGAATGTCATGAATAGGTGCATCTTTATATCTAGGTGGGCTCATCATATCGTCAATGGCATTCATTTAACCCATTTTGTATCCAGCATATCAACAGCTGGATACAATGGGTTAAATGGTAGGTTTCAATGGTCGCTTTGATATGTTATTAATGGAAATAAATACATTAATATTATATGTGCATGATTTCTCAACACATAAACACAGAGTACAGAAAGGAAGATATGAGTCTGAACCATCATCTACCAAGTGTACCATCAATGAATTTACTGGGCTAGGAAGATCCCTTACTAGCCCAGGAAGAATCCTTCCTAGCCCAGGAAGAATCCTTCCTAGCCCAGGAAGAACCCTTCCTAGCCCAGGAAGAACCGTTCCTAGCCCAGGAAGAACCCTTCCTAGCCCAGGAAGAACCCTTCCTAGCCCAGGAAGAAGCCTTCCTCTCTCAGGAAGAACCCATCCTCTCCCAGGAAGAACCCTTCCTAGCCCAGGAAGAACCCTTCCTAGCCCAGGAAGAACCCTTCCCCTCTCAGGAAGAACCCATCCTCTCCCAGGAAGAACCCTTCCTAGCCCAGGAAGAACCCTTCCTAGCCCAGGAAGAACCCTTCCTCTCCCAGGAAGAACCCTTCCTAACCCAGGAAGAACCCTTCCTAGCCCAGGAAGAACCCTTCCTCTCCCAGAAGAACCTTCCTAGCCAGGAAGACCCATCCTATCCAGGAGAATTCCTAGCCAGGAAGAACCTTCCTAGCCCAGGAGAACCCTTCCTCTCCAGGAAGAACCCTACTAGCCCAAAGAAAAACCCTTCTAGCACGGAAAACCCTTCCTCTCCAGGAAGAACCCTTCCTCTCCCAGGAAGAACCCTTCCTAGCCATGAAGAACCTTCCTCTCAAGGAAGACCCTTCCCCTTTCCAGGAAGAACCCTTCCTAGCCCAGGAAGAACCCTTCCTCTCCCAGGAAGAACCCTTCCTAGCCCAGGAAGAACCCTTCCTCTCCCCGGAAGAACCCTTCCTATCCCAACGTACCTAAGACTGGCATATTTCGACGATTCAGAGAGGTGTTAAGCATTTTCAGATATGCTTAAATTTTTCAGCTAAAATATGTAAATTATCACACCTTTAACATCTGGAAACTCTTGCTTCAATTGCATTTCATTCCATATGAAATTTTATTGATAGTTAAGGCAATGCTAATGGAAGTCATCCGAACTAGGTAACCATTTGACCTTTCTCACATGTTTATATGTTAGAAAGTGAAATTTCCACTCATCCTGATCTTCCTAAGTTCTTGGTATATAATGAAGAACAAAGCAAACTGATAAAAATACATGGGAAAAGCGGTACACGAAAATGTGTGTGTGTATGTGTATGTGTATGTGTGTGTGTATGTGTATGTGTATGTGTGTGTGTGTGTGCGTGTCTGTGTGTGTGTCTTCCTCCCTATTCTCCTGCTCCATTATTTTTTTAGTCTTTCTTCTCTGTCACTGTCTTCTTGTCATCTGGAGCTTCCCTCTTCTTCGTTGCCAGTGAAAGTTGAAACATTCCACTGGAAGGCTTGAAACTTGAACCAGAAGTCACAGATGACCTTCCTAAGGCCAAAGAGCTCTCACTGGATGGTTTGAAGTACGATTCACCAGCCATGGAACCAAGAGCCGCTTGAAACTCTTTTTCGCTGAAGCTGTCGACCAAAGAACTCGCCATAACGTCTGGAAAAAGTATTACTCGGTAAATATTCTAGCATCTATGTCCAAAGATCTTTACTGCTTAACTCTAATTCAACTTGTGTCACCAACCTGTCCTAGTGTTTATATGTATTACTCCTGTGTATTAGCCCTTATGGTTAGTTTTTGGGATAGATTAGTTTAAACTAGACAGGCTTACACATTCGTTTAAACTATCCTAATTTAGCAGAGGGATGTAAGTAAAAAAATTGTATGTTAAATCCCACTCTATTAGAATGAAACTACCCATTTCTATCCTTCCTTATCAACTTGTAGAGCATTAGGTAACATTACCTAGGAAACTGGATAATTCCTGGAAGGCCACAGAATGAGCTGTACCAGTCAGAAGTAGAAGACAGACCTTGATTTAATCAGAACAGCAGTGAAACCAAAGCAAGAAGCAATGGAAATAGCATAAATCTTAGCATAGCAGAAATCATGGAAGATAATAGAAGAGATTGATATAATATGTAAGGTTAATATGGGAAGCAGAATTTCAATTTAAGAATGGAAAAGCCTTGACGATTAAAATAGAATCGAAAGGGTAAACACCACTGTAAAAAGAAGAGGATCATATGATTCCAAAGGAATCTTTAATTCATTATTAATTACTTTACTCTAGTCTGACATCTTACAAGATCAAGATAGGATTCACTGCTATTCTAGACAGAATCTTCTACCCACTACCGCCTCCTCAGGTTAAGTCTTTAGTGCCTTTCCACCAAACATTATATATCTTATCATGTATTGCCAGTTAAAGGCTCTTCATTCAAGGAATTAAACCTGATATCCCCTGCTTTGGATCGAACTTGAATGTATCCCAATCCCTCATGCGTTGTATGAACCCTATGGATTTAGCGCTCCCCATTTCATAATAATAATAATAATAATAATAATTATCATGTGCTCAGAATACCTCCGATGTCCTCTATTCTCTGGCCTTAATTATATAATTTCTCCTGTTTATCTTCCTCGTTATTTCTCCCTTCCTCTCTCCTATCGTCACTTTGTTCTTCTCCCGCTCTTCTTAATTTCCTCCCCTCTTTCTTTTATCCCAATCCCAAGACACCACTCACCAAGGACCTTCTTCTCCACTTCTGGCGTGATGGCTCCCCGGGCTGCCTCCTTCTCCAGCAGGGTCACTACCCCTGCAGCGCTTTCTCAGATCCAAAATCTCCATCTGCAATGAAACATTCACCTTTAGAAAGAAAGATTCCGTTAGGAAAGGGGATATTCTGCTGGATAAACTGGGATTTGACAAACAATGTCAACTGAACCAGTGACTCTAAAGGCAGTGTTCAGTTTACCATAAAATAAGACTCATGTGGCGCTACAGCTTCTCCTGTGGTAATACATGAAGTGAATAACTTACCCTAAGACCTGTTATTAGGTTATAAAAATGGTTTTGCTTCAATGCATATCGCAATTAACTCTGACTTACCAAGAGTCAGTCATATGATTTCTGTTATCCAACACAGTTAATTTTCCCCAAAGGCCAAATATGAGGCAGTGTAAGAACTGCTGTGGACAAACATGGTGTGATACACAAATAACCAGCACATGGGAGAATGAAAGTTATGAGGACTTTTCGGTCCGACTTGAAGCATTAACTAGTCACACAGAAGCGCTAGAGGAAGGTGGGGCCAGGAGTAAGTAAAACGAGAAGAAGTCGTAGTAATATATACTGTTTCCCTTTGTGTGACTAGTTACTGGTCACAGTCGGACCGAGTCTTGGTCATAAGATTCATTCTTCTATGTGCAGTTATTTGTGTATTGTTTCAGTCATGATATTGTGCCTTACACGTGACCCAGGAGAGGGTCAAATGACCGGTGACCTAACATAAGTGCTGGACTTACCTCCGTGCATGGCCTGCTTGAAGAGAATCTTAGCTAGCTGGTAGATAATTTCCTCGAGGGAATACTCTGTTAACATGTAGTCCTCATTCTTCAGCTTCCCTGGAATACTCTCATAGTCCAGCTCAGGTGTCAGCATCCCCTCGGGATACCCTACGTTCATCTCCGTCAGGGAGATAGCTGTAACGACGAGAGGCAGTGTGCAATCTATCTGTCAGAAACAGAGCTGTAACGACGGGAGGCAGTGTGTTATCTCTCTGTCAAGAAGAAAGCTGTAACGACGGGAGGCATTGTACAATCTGTTAAGAAGAGAACTGTAACGACGGGAGGCAGTGTTTAATCTGTCGGTCAAGAAGAGAACTGTAACGACGGGAGGCAGTGTGTAATCTGCCAAGAAGAGAACTGTAACGACGGGAAGCATCGTGCAATCTGTCAAGAAGAGAACTGTAACGACGGGAGGCATTGTGCAGTCTGTCAAAGAGAGACTTGTAACAACAAAAAGCAGTGTATTTGTTTAAGACAAGTCAATTTCTCCTCGTACGTTATTAAGATTAGATCAACGGTAATTAAATAAATTTTACTAATTAAATAATAATGCCAAAAAAGTACAATAATTCATAGAGCTGCAAAATTGTTTTGAAGCGGCAACAGAAAACGGGGACCGTTTTCTGTAATGAATATGAATGGTGCTTACTTAGAAGGATGGGATACAGCGTTGTTTAGCACCAATACGCACCTAGTTGAGCACACCTAGCTGTACTCTCCTAGTTATCTCGAACAACATCCTGTTGTTTCTGAATCTATGAAGTTAACCAGAAGAAGGATTTGAAGGGTGGGAGGGAAGAGACTAGAGTTTGAGTGAGGAAGGGAGTAGTGATGACTAAAAGATTTCTTCATTGATCATCCCTTAAGTTAGTTAAAAGATCACTTCCCAACAGTAGGAGTGTTAGAATGTTGCATCTCAAACCATACCACGGATGGGGTTAGAACCCGCGGTCGTAAAACTCCAGACCGACGTGTTAGCCACTTGGCCAGCTGGCTACAATAAGATGGTTTGTTTGCAATTGTGTCATTATGATTTTGTGAGTCATGATGACGGTTTTGAGGGAACTTGAGCTAGAATTCATCACGGCCACGCTGGCGGGAGATTCGCTTGTAAAACTTGCATTTGTGGTCACTGTGGTGCCTATGCTAACCTTCCTATGGTGTAGAAATATGCCTAGTTTGATGAATCTTATTGGGCCAGCTGGCCCAGTGGCTAACGCGTCGGTCTGGAGTTTTATGACTCTCTGACCACGGGTTCTACTTCCCAACACTGTATCATCTGCTACTTTCCAGCAGTGTATCATCTGCTACTTTCCAGCAGTGTATCATCTGCTACTTCCAGCAGTGTATCATCTGTACTTCCAGCAGTGTATCATCTGCTACTTCCGCAGTGTATCATCTGCTACTTTCCAGCAGTGTATCATCTGCTACTTTCCAGCAGTGTATCATCTGCTACTTTCCAGCAGTGTATCATCTGCTACTTTCCAGCAGTGCATAATCTGTTCAAAAAAGGTATACAATACCGACAAGATGAAAGTTAAGACACATGTGCAACATCTGGATGGCGAAACGTCTACAATAAAGATACCCAGATGTTGCACATGTGCATAATCTGCTACTTCCCAGCAGTGTATCACCTGCCACTTTCCATCAATGTATCATCTGTTACTTTTCAACAGTGTCCTCTCTACCATGTCCCAACAAACAGCTGAATAGATGACTCTTTTATTCTCTCTCTGCCACGTATGGGCCTTGACCTTCCCAAACTGGTGGGTGGCCTCACACCACAATGTTTTCCTCCCTTGAAGCTGTGACCTCCAGCCGGTAACCTAACCTTCCCAAGGAGTGACCCATTCTTTCTTAGCAGTGACTTACCCTTCTCAGGATGTGACCCATCCTCTCCAGGAGGTGACCTCACTCCATACTCATACCTCTGCTTGAATGTATCTTCCTTCCTGCCCTTCAGGATTGTACAGAGAAAAGCAATCTTAGGAAATTAACCTCACGGGGATTTGGTCTCCAGCAGCACCAATGAATACTTGGTGGAAATGAAGACCACATGTGCGTGCCTAGTTGTACGTGTCCAGAGGGAGGTATGAAGGGAGAGAATGGGGGAAGAAATGGGGAGGAAGAAGGTTAGGAAAAATAGAGTAGGGGATTGAGGAAGGAAGATGTTGAAAAAGAAGGGAGGAAGAAAGAGAGGGAAGGAAGATGAGAAGAATGATAGTTGAAAAAAAGAAGTTAGATAGGATGGGTGAGAGTGAAGGGAGAAGGGAAAGTAGGGAGGGTGAAACGTAAACATGAAGTGACTTGTGATTATAATTCTGTAAGAATATATTTGTGTTTCACATCTTGCCTTGGAGTTTCATGCCAATCATTTCCGTTACTGAATGACTTTGTACGAGACATAGAAATTATTCCGCGTATTTGAGTGGATTTAGTTAAAAGATAAGGAGAGACTGAGAGAGAAAGGCTTTTGCTTTTCAGGGAGCGATTTCAGTGTCCGGATTTGGAAACAAACCCTTCAGATCTTTTTCAGGTGTAATTAACGATACATGACTCTCGCCTACGTTCCAAGGAGCACAGGTCGAGGAACTTTAAATGTCTGAATTTACAAGGTCAGTGAGGGTTCTCTGTACAGTCTCCTTTCGTTAATGAGGATCTTAATGCATGAAGTCAGCATATAAAAGGTGAATCAGTAAAAACAAGGTGAGTCATTAATTACTAAGTGAAACAGTTTAGTAATTACAAATCAGTATACACACAAAGATAGTCATACATAGTAGATAAATCAATACACATAAACTGAGTCAGTACACACAATGTGAGTCAGTAAAAAACAAATGTCAAACTTACGTTTCCTGTTCTTCTTCGACATAATCTTAAAGTCACTCTGAGAATCCTGCAACAAGAAACAAAAGATGTATAAATTAATTGGGTCGCCTGATAGACAGGTAAGGGGTAATATTTTTTATATAAATCAATCAATTAATCAATCCGACCATATGTTAAATTTTATAATATATGGTACAATATAAACACACACAACATGGTAGTGCAGCCAGGCTTTCATTTTTGGGGAAGAGTTTAAAGTCCCGAATTTCAATCTGAGGTCTTTAAAAATTAGATGCTGGAAAATCAAAGAAATTGTCTATAAAAACAACTGATTTTCAGGAGGCGTGTGAAATTTCTTAAACTATCGTGCTTTGCTGATCACTGGTCAATATATTACAGCAAAAAATAGCCACTAAATTAAAAAAAAGTATTTGCCTCCTGGAGAGTTTCACTTCCCTCATCTCTTCCTCTGTGGCTGCCATATTATCACTCATTACAAATGCACAAGCAATTATTTTACTACAATATGCATATTTTCAGCCACATATAGTTAACATGCTTCTAGTTGGCTTCATCTGCAATATTGACAACCTCAATTCTAGCAGTTTTGATGAATTTGAAGGCATTTTCATTACACTGGTGACTTTAGAAACGCTGTTGATTTTGTTTTGTACTTTAACGAATTCGTTAACTTTTACAACCTTGAGAACTTTGACTTTTGTGTATTTTGTGAATTTTACAACCACGGGCTCCTTGATAAATTTTGGTGGTGTTGCTGTCTCAGCTGGACTCAAGTAAGTTTGTGGAAGAGATTTGTGGTAAACTTTGGGAACGTTGGTGAGGGCTACGAATATTTTGTTGGATACATTGGAGAAGACGCGACAGAGAGAGAGAGAGAGAGAGAGAGAGAGAGAGAGAGAGAGAGAGAGAGAGAGAGAGAGAGAGAGAGAGAGAGAGAGAGAGAGAGAGAGAGAGGGTTACTTTCACATGGCTACTGTAACCTCTCTATTCTGATACAACTATTCTCTTCCCGGCACACATTAACACCAACTTTGTTGTGGTGGTCGTGCTGCTGGTTGTTGTTACACTCAAACTGTAGTGGTGGTGATCATCTTGATAGTGGTTGCCACACTCACCTTGTAGTGGTAGTGGTCACCTTGATAGTTGTTGCCACACTCACCTTGAAGTGGTGGTAGTCATCCTGATAGTTGTTGCCACACTCACCTTGTAGTGGTGGTGGTCATCTTGATAGTGGTTGCCACACTCACCTTGTAGTGGTGGTGGTCACCTTGATAGTTGTTGTCACACATACCTTGTAGTGGTGGTCATCTTGATAGTTGTTGCCACACTCATCTTGTCGTGTTCGTCTTGTTGATAGTGGCCAAAAACGACTTGTCGTGGTTGCTGTCTGCCGGTTGCGTTGACGTTGTGCTGTCAGTCCTCGTGGTTGAGGCAACACTTACCTACTCGTAGTGTTGGTTGTAGCAATACTCACTTTGTCGTGGTGCTAGTTGCAGCAACACTCACCTTGTGATGCTGTTGTAGCAACACTCACCTTGTCGTGGTGATGGTTGTTTCAGTTCTCACCTTGTCGTGGTGCTGGTTGTTTCAGTACTCACCTTGTCGTGGTGCTGGTTGTTTCAGTACTCACCTTGTTGTGGTGCTGGTTGTTTCAGTACTCACTTTTGTCGTGGTTCTGGTTGTTTCAATACTCACCTTGTCGTGGTGCTGGTTGTTTCAATACTCACCTTGCAGTGCTGGATGTTTCAATACTCACCTTGTAGTGCTGGTCATTTCAATATCCACCTTGTCGTGGTGCTGGTTGTTTCAGTACTCACCTTGTCGTGGTGCTGGTTGTTTCAGTACTCACCTTGTCGTGGTGCTGGTTGTTTCAGTACTCACCTTGTCGTGGTTCTGGGTGTTTCAATACTCACCTTGTTGTGGTGCTGGATGTTTCAATACTCACCTTGTAGTGCTGGATGTTTCAATACTCACCTTATCGTGGTGCTGGTTGTTTCAATACTCACCTTGTCATGGTGCTGGTTATTTCAATACTCACCTTTGTCGTGGTTCTGGTTGTTTCAATACTCACCTTGTCGTGGTGCTGGGTATTTCAATACTCACCTTGCAGTGCTGGTTGTTTCAGAACTCACCTTGTCGGGTGCTGGTTGTAAGAACACTCACCTTGTCATGGTGGTCGTCCTGCTGGTTGAAGTAGTGGAGGTAGTCACGGATGTCTTGCAGATAGCTAAGAGCGTCCTCAGCTGTCATCTGCGAGGCCAACAGAGAATGATGGATATTCAAACTTCCCAGAATTCATCTTAATGATGAAGCAATATTTGCTGATGCTCATTTAATCGTGTATAATTCCCAAGTATTCCCCTGCACTCTTTTTTTTCAGATGAATGGGTATTTTTCTGAGTGTAATTAATATACTTTCATGAACTAGAAAGATTTAATTTAAGCTATGCATCTATTGTCCCTGTATCTAGAAAATGTAACGAGTTGTCAGGGGCACATTGAGAGTTGCTGGATCTCAAGGGCAAGCAATTTTGGGCTCAAAGTAACTATAAATTTGTTGTCAAAATACATATTTAAGTTATTAGGTATCCTCAAAGAGGGACTTTTACGGGATAACTGATTTTTTTTTTTGTTTCTTCTCATTTTTTATTCATCCCATTTTTCTTTTTTATTTTGTTAATAAAACGAGGCCTCATCCAATAGGCTTTAAATTTTCAAAGTAGATGCATTGTAACCAGGGCACACAACTCTCGACACACAATATTCTACGAAAATATTCAACACAATGCCCTACACAGATCGCAAATACACACACACACACACACACACACACACCCACACACACACACACACACACACATAGACGAGGTGGACAAAGACGGGATGTTCCAGAGATGGGACACAGACACTAGAGGTCACAATTGGAAGTTGAAGACTCAGATTAATCAAAGGGATGTTAGGAAGTATTTCTTCAGTCATAGAGTAGTCAGGCCATGGAATAGCCTAGAAAGTGATGTAGTGGAGGCAGGAACCATACATAGTTTTAAGGCGAGGTATGATAGAGCTCATGGGGCAGGGAGAGAGAGGACCTAGTAGCAATCAGCGAAGAGGCGGGGGCCAGGAGCTGGGACTCGACCCCTGCAACCACAAATAGGTGAGTACAAATAGGTGAGTACACACACACACACACACTTTATATGCAACAACCATGTGCAAGGGGGCTACGGAGAGGTTTGTACCTAAGGGTAACAGGAATAATGAAAAAGCCAGGATGAGCCCGTGGTTCACCCAAAGGTGCAGGGAGGCAAAAACCAAGTGTGCTAGGGAATGGAAGATATATAGAAGGCAAAGGACCCACGAGAATAAGGAGAGCAGTCGTAGAGCCAGAAACGAATATGCACAGATAAGAAGGGAGGCCCAACGACAGTATGAAAACGGCATAGCAGCGAAAGCCAAATATGACCCGAAGCTGTTATACAGCCACATCAGGAAGAAAACAGAATGGACATAAATTCGTTAGAAAACATTCAGCGTAGGATGACTAAACTAATACATAGCATTAGAAATCTTCCTTATGAAGAAAGATTGAAGACTCTTAAGTTACATTCACTTGTTAGACGAAGAATGAGGGGAGACCTGATCGAAGTGTATAAGTGGAAGAAAGGTATTAATAAAGGGGATATTAATAAGGTCTTTGAGTGGTGACGTGTACTTAGCTCTGTGAAGACCTGTTTGTGTGCTCTCTGTGAATCTGAACCAGGATGCCCTCTCTTGAGCAGCTTTACCAGCAGCTGAGAGAAGAACTCAGAGTTGCTAAACTGGAGATACGGCGATTAACGGAGGAGAACAAGAGGATTCGTAGTAATCCACCTGTTGTGAGTCCCCAGGTTAAGAGGGGAGCTTGGTCAGTGGCCGGGCAACATGGAACCAAGCTGAAGATTAAGAAAACGGTTGGAGAGGCAGAAACAACGAGAAACCAGAAGACTGCCGTGGAAACTTCCAACTCATTCTCGGTGCTACCTGACGAATGTGATGTGTTCTACTGGGAATGCCACAACGAGCACCAAGGAAGCATTGGCAGACGTGAGTGAGACATCCTAGAAACCCCAACGAAGACCATCGAGAACGTCATGACGAATTCTACAAGTGGTGTAATGCTACCTGGCGAATGTGAGTCGACTACTCGGAGCATCACTACGGACGACGCCAAGGAAGGTAAAAACATTGTTGTTGTTGGGGATAGCCAGATTAGGTACATGGATAGGGCATTCTGTTTGAAGGATAGGAGTAGGAGGCACAGAGTATGTTTTCCTGGGGCTGGGATGAAGGATATTGTTAGCCGTCTGGATGACATCATGAGAGGTAATGGGAGCAATCCTATTATCTGTCTCAGTGCTGGAGGCAACGATGTTGGCAGACGTAGGAGTGAGGACCTGATTAGCAGGTATAGGTCAGCAATAGAGATAATTAGGAAGAAGGGTGGGAAACTGTCATATGTGGCATTTTGCCAAGGAGAGGAGTTGGAAATGAATGGTTGTCAGAGCAATTGGTGTCAATTGCTGGCTGGACAAATACTGTAAGGAAAATGCGGTAACATTCATTGACAACTGGGACCTCTTCTATGGCAGAAATGACATGTATGCCAGGGATGGGGTTCACTTGTCTAGGTGTGGGGTGGGAGCACTGGCCAACGCAAGTGGAGGGAGCTGTTAGGTCTTTAAACTAGGAATAGTTAGTGGTATGGGTTTTGGCGGAAAACTGTGAAGTCGCAGGGTAGTAACATGAGTACTAGGAGAACTAGTAATAGGCAAAATGAGGAGGATATTGGAAAGCCAGTGGCACTAATTGACAATGACAGTAATAGGTTTAGTGGAATAACAGAAAGGAGCAGGAAGGGTAAAGAGATAGGAGGGTCATTAAATATTTATTCCAAAAATAGTCGCAGTGCTAGGAATAAGATGGACGAGTTGAGACTAGTTGCTAGTGCGGTAACATAGATGTATTGCCTTTACTGTGACGTGGTTTATTCAAAAAGTCGGGACATGCCTGCAGAATGTCACATTCAGGGTTTTAAATTTTTCCCAAGTAGATAGAAGTATCGGAAGGGGGTGGGGTGGCATTGTATGTCCGAGATCGCTTGAACTGTTGCATAAAAAACGGGTATTAAGTCTGAAGTAACACATACAGAGTCTGTTTGGATAAAATTTTTCAGGGACATGAAAATTAATTTTAGGTGTGATATACCGTCCCCCAAATTTAGATAGGGACCAGGGGAGACTACTATGGAGGAAATTGTTAGGGCCACAAGGCACGATAATTTTGTATTTTCTAGGAGACTTTAATTTAGTCTATTGATGGAATTTCTTGACTGGGAATTAGAATCATACGATTTCTTAGAAGTAGTTCAGGATTGTTTTTTGAAGCAGCTTGTGACAGAACCTACAAGGGGGTAATAACCTGCTTGACTTATTTTCTGGCAAACAATGAATCCCTTGTTAATAATTTAGAAGTTTCAGAGGAACTGGGTGCTAGCGACCACAATTCAATTACATGTAAAATTGAAGGGGAAGTATGATAGTAGGGATAACTCAGTAACAGTCCCCGATTTTCGCTTAGCAGATTACGATGGGGCTTAGAGAACACTTATCATCTGTTGACTGGGGGTAACGAAGAGAGCTATCAATATGACAGTTTTTGAACACAATACATGCTGCTCAAAGAACGTTTATCCCTTATAAGGAAATTAGAATCAAATAGAAATGACCCCAAAAAGGATGAATAAAAGGCTGAAATATTACTAGGGCATAAGAAAGAATTTATAGGCGTATCAAAAGAGGCGAGGGTCATCTTATGAATCAGTATATTGACATTAAGAGGGACATAAAAAAGGGGATAAGAAAAGCTAAAAGGGACTATGAAAATTAAAGTTGCTAGGGATTCTAAAACTAATCCAAAAAGTTTTTTCCAGGTCTATAGAACAAAAGTCAGAGATAAGATAGGTCCCCTTAAAATAACTATGGGCATCTTACTGACAAAGAGAATGAAATGTGCTCGATTTTAAATAATTATTTTCTCTCGGTTTTTACACAGGAAGACACTAATAATATTCCGGTAATTAATTTTTATAGTGGATCAGAAGAAGATAAATTATGTAACATCACAGTCACTAGTGAAAGGGGTTGTGAAGCAGATAGACAGACTGAAGCAAAATAATCACCGGGTCCTGATGAGGTTTTTTCAAGGGTTCTAAAGGGAAATGCAAAATGGAAGTCTGTAAAACCATTAACTAATATTTTTAATTTATCTCTTCAAACAGGTGCAGTTTTCTGATATGTGGAAGATGGCTAATGTAATTCCTATTTTTAAAACAGGGACAAGTCGTTACCGGGTCAAATTACCGCCCAAAAAGCCTGACCTCAATTGTAGGCAAATTACTAGAGTCAATTATAGCTGAGATTATAAGAAGCCATCTCGATAAGCATAGCTTGATTAATGATACTCAGCATGGATTCACAAGAGGCCGGTCTTGTCTAACTAATTTATTAACTTTCTTCAGTAAAGCTTTTTGAGGCTGTTGACCACGATAAAGAATTTGTATTATTTACTTAGATTTTTGTAAGGGATTTGATAGAGTTCCGCACCAAAGACTGTTGAAGAAAGTAGCGCTCATGGCATTGGGGGAAGGGTGCTCTCGTGGATCGAATCATGGCTCACAGACAGGAAGCAAAGAGTGTCCATAAATGGGGTTAAATCCGAGTGGGGATCAGTAACAAGTGGCGTTCCACAGGGATCAGTCTTGGGCCCGTTGTTGTTTATAATATATATCAATGATCTTGATGAAGGAATTACTAGTGATATGAGCAAATTCGCCGATGACACGAAGATAGGTAGGATAATTGATTCAAACGTAGATGTTAGGGAACTTCAGGAGGATTTAGACAAACTCTACTCTTGGTCAGAAAAGTGGCAGATGCAGTTCAATGTAGATAAATGCAAGGTTCTGAAGCTCGGGAGTGTCCATAACCCTAGCACTTATAAGTTAAATAATGTAGAACTTAACCATACAGATTGCGAAAAGGACTTGGGGGTTATGGTAAGCAGCAACCTTAAACCAAGACAGCAATGCCTAAGCGTGCGTAATAAGGCAAATAGATTACTGGGATTTATATCAAGAAGTGTAAGCAACAGAAGTCCAGAGGTCATACTGCAGCTTTATACATCATTAGTAAGGCCTCACCTAGATTATGCAG